GGTACCCACTTGCCCAAACCAAAAGCTCATTGGAAAATATGTCTTGCACGTGGAGATGGACTTTAATCATCTGCTGTAATTAAATGATGAGAAGATACTAACACCTGAAAGAATGACCTGTAAGTTTCAGACTCTCATTCCCAGCTTCCTAGTGCCACACACAGCTGGTGCACCCTGAGCAGGGAAAACGCGACCGCTCGGCGTGAGGACCTCACCTTGTCGAAGTACTTGCAGAGGAGGGCTCGTGTCTCGGAGGCGGACAGGTAGCTGAGCTTGGCCATCAGGTTCATCTCCCACTGGGACAGCATGCTGGCGGAGGCCCGGAGCTGCCTCTGCCGCTGGGTGATGGCCTCGTTCTTGTACTCTATGGCAGCATCCAAAGCCTCGATGGCCTCATCCAGCTGGAACAGAGTCCGCTCCTCCTGTGGGGGGGCAGAGCAGGGGAGCAAGACCAGGGACAGCTGATGGGTCAGAGCTCTCACCTGTCCTGGGATTTCAGTATGGTCACTTGCACCAAATCACAGGTCTAGACACTCTGAAGAACTTTGCCAAGAGCATATCGGTTTGCTTTTATAAAACACAGACATAACGTCTCTGTTTCACCTCAATAAAGAACATGGTTAGCACTAAAGTGAAAATCACTGGCTGGCTAGCAAAGTCCATTTGAGCACAAATGGTGCTTTTCCTTCTGGGCTAATAAAATGTATATCTGGCTGATTCTTGGTATGCTCACCATGTTCTCTGCGGGTGAAAAAATCAACCAAGATAGATTCCTGAAAATGGATCTATAAAAAACAATCAACTGATGAATAAAACCAAACGGCTACACTATAAAATCAGTGAAAACAACCTTCTGTGTAACTAAACCGTTTCCGGGTAAGACCTCTATTATTCAGCGCAGACAGGCGTGTTCAGTTAAACCCAAACCACTTCCAGCCATCCCTGAGGATTCTCCACCCACGACAGCAGTGCGCCTTCCTGTCTGCTGTCTGTTCGAAGGAGTCAATGCCCTGAAGATTCGGTGGCAATGAGATGACCACAGAATGCATTCAGCCTTATCTAATAAGTGAAACAGCTGCGTTGGTAAAAAGAAACATAGAAATCAATCTTATTACACTTCCTTCAAGCACGAGCACAAGCAGTCAATGCCTGCTCTTATCCCCCTGCCAGCCGCTTGCCGATAGAGGTTTCTGTGGGTCAGGGACGAAGCGGCTACCTCGGGGGAGAGAAGGCTGCCCTGGCGCAGTTTGTCGTCCAGCTCTGTTCGCTGCTTCAGGAGCTGGTCCTTCTCCAGGCGCAGGTTGGATATCTCCTGGCGGATCTGCTGGGAGTCCTGGGCACTGCTGCTGCGGAGCTGGCCGTTCCTCTCGGAGAGCTCCCGCTCCAGGGACTCGATGCGGCTGGACAGGAGGACGAGGTCTTTACTCAGGGCCTGCAGAAGTGGGCACACATGAGACACACGAATGCCACCCAGGAGGCACCAGTACTGCTCTCAAGAGCTACAAGAGGCATGCAGGGAAGGCAAGACAGGTCACCTCCTTTTTTTTTATGTTAAAAATCAAACTGATTCAATTTCCAAAATGACTAATTCACAAGAGTTACATTTCAGTTTGAACATTATCACATCTTTCTCCCCTTTGAGAAATACTGTGCATCAGGTCACTAATTTGAAGTGTTTTAAAGTGTTAACTTTCGTTAACAGTGGGTATGACTCAGGGACTACATCCAAACACACAAAACAGTGGTGTCTGCCAGCCTGACAGCCATGTTTGGAGATGTTCACCTTTTTTACCTTGATAGGCTATGCAGGCACTACCATGCTCTATTAAACTCAATAACAATGGGTAAGAGCTACTTGGTATCCCCAATTAGTAATCTTGTTTGCAAGTGAGTTTCTGTTAAATTGCTACTACAGTAAGTGTCATTTCCATTTCAGGCCTGAGAAATAAGTGAGTAGTAAAGAGCAGGTATGAGAAGTTTAATTGCTTAACTGTCACAGTTTGAGAGCAGAGCACCATTAGATGTCCTCTGGTTAATTACAAATTCATTTGTACTCTGTCCAGTTTTCTCAGGACAAGATATAAATAACAGCACCGGCACATTTTCACAAGCTATCCTTCAGAATGTTTTTCCTCATAATTTATTTCTTGTGGTAGGCAGCTGGTGTAGCACTGGGACTATTTGAAAAACCAGTGCAGACGTGTAAATTCTACTTCATTGATTTTTCAGCCTTCAGTTTTAAAAACTGCAGTTCTAAATCTTTTGGAAATTCCCTACCTGCCAAAGTCTGGATGGTTTGCAGAGTAATAAGCTGCAGGACTGATACAAGCTGTGCTTGGGAGGTTGGCAAGTATGACATGCTTGGCAGCAGATATTTTTGTACATCAGGGTGATCACAGGAGGACCACAGCAGCTCAGTATCCACCTGTGTTCTCCTGTAATGGGGTTTGCTTGCAACTTAATGCCATGCAGAGGGGCGATCCATGACCTCAGCATAGCAAAGCACACTCTAAAAATGACATCTACACACTCTTTTACAGATGTGCTCACCTAATGTTCTCTCTTGGAATGGAAATGAAATGGACTAAAATCTGTACTGAAAGAGGACTGGTCAATGCTGCAAGCAAACAGTGTCAAAATTCAGGCTGTGTTCCTAAATTAAAAACACGCCATTGAGAATCTAAGAGAAAACACTCTTACTTTCATGTGGATATTGAACATATAATCCTGTATGTTGCACATGTAGGTGTATTTACAGTAAAAACACATCAATACTGAATACACATGCAGGCTTGCTGCCGACACCTGTCAGTGTTCCCTGGGCTCTAGGTGTGAAGGCTTGACCACCCCCTACTGCAGGCAGTGGTCTCTGCACTCAAACCGTCTCCAAAACATCTGGTGTAAGCACTGTTTTTTCTGAAGGCTATAAACCTCTGTGAAAGTTGTCATATTAATGAAAAATGACATTTAATTTAAAAGAAACACTGACTTTTCTGTGTTTTTAATACCTTTAACAACAACTGGCAGCAATACTGGCAACACTGTGTGAAGGGCTTTGAGAGTTAATAGCCCAAATCTTTAATTACAGTGTATACAGACTGTGTCTGATAATAATGATTTGTTCAGACTTGTTGGCTAACTCTAAAACAGTCAGTAGTCGACATTAATTTACTTTTGCATACAGTGTACACACAGTGTGTGACAGGCATGTTACACTGTAGCCCTAATTTCGAGTGGTCCTACCAGGAAAAGGAGAGCACATGGATGTGAATGTGTTTAAATGGCTTTGTTATTTCTTTCCTGCATCACAGTTTAGACTGTCATAGAATATGTTACAGAGAAGACTATGATCTATCAAATAAAACTAATAATTCTCCATTTTCAAACTACTTTACAAGTAATGGGGACTCCTCACCACCACCAGTGTACAGGAAGATGCGACGGCAGCCAGAGTGCACCAGTACACTTCCCACACACACCAGTGATCAGTGGGGAGGAGAGCAGAGTGATGAAGCCAGTTCAGAGATGAGGATTATAAAGAGGCCAGGATTACAAGGAGGATTATAAGGAGGCCTACTCTTTTCGAGAAATGTCCTGGGATTTTTAATGACCACAGAGAGTCAAGACCTCAGTTGTACATGTCAACCAAAGGACGGCGCATTTTTTACAGTATAGCGTCCCCGTCACTATACTGGGGCATTAGGATCCACAGCGCCCCCTGCTGGCCCCACTAACACATCTTCCAGCAGCAACCTCAGCTTTCCCAGGAGTCTCCCATCCAGTGGGCTGCCAGCTGTGATTTGCACGGTGATATGGCTGCTGGCTTTTATAAATGTTATAAGTTTTATACACCTTGCTCGCTGTAAGCACCTCTGATCAGATGCTGTTTCCTCACAAGTGAGCTGGTTTCCCTCGCGCGTGACCAACACTCGCAGCCCCCGCCCCCGCAGGCAGGGGGCGAGGCCCTACCTGGCTGGAGCGCAGCCTCTTGCTCTCCAGGCCGCTGCGCTCCTGCAGCAGGGCCTCCTTTTTGGCCAGGATCTGCTCTCTCTTGGTCAGCTCGCCCTCCAGCTCCTCCAGCCCCCGGCGCTGCCCCAGCACGTGCTCCATCTCCTCGTCCAGCCAGCGCTTCTGCTCCTCTATCTTCTGCTCGAGAGGCACACACACACACACACAGGGCGGGCTGGATGGCTTTGCACAGTCTGCTCTTTAAACAATATCTGCCGCGTACACTACAAGGAATACCTCAGCGTTTGCCCTTCGAGAAGTCAGCTTTTAAAATGAAGTAAAATCAATTAACATCTGAGTTCAAAACACAAACAAAATTGTATCGACCTCTCTCTTTCCTCCGAGACGTGGTCTTTACTGATAGCTATGTTTTGTCCCAGTCTCAGATCTTGTCAGAACGTGTTTTTCTGCCAGACAAGGACGCCAGGCTGGAAACGAGGACAGCAGGCGCCAGGTGAGGCAGGAGTGTGCAATTCCTGCTGGCCTGGGCAGCGCTGATCTCGACAGGGCTGTGGTTCAGCTAGTGACCCCCCCCCCAATCCCCTCCACATTCACTGTGCCCGCTGCTGGAAAGTGTCTACTTTCAACATCTTCACTTCAAAAAGAAACTTCATATTAACATTGTAGACAATTTAAAGATTTCAGGTTAACGTAAAGCATTGGCAAAACAATGCCATATGAAATATATTTTTACTTATCTTAACCTTTAATGTTGGTTGAAAAACAAAACAAGCTGAAAATGGACAGCAAATAATATGTCTCTGCCTGTATTTCTGACTTAATGCACCAGACTATTACTCTCTTGCATTGCTATCAGTTGGCTCTGATAGAATGTGATCAAACTGTTTTCTCCAACAAATGTCAGCATACTGCGATATCCTACAACAGTGTATAGGTACGTCTGTTGGGCTATATGACATCTAGTTATATAGGTTGTGCCTGAGCAGCTTGTTCCCAGCTGGGATTTGACTGCTGGCACCACCCGGTGATGAATTTCACCAAAGGTACCAATGTATTTGGCAATTCAATGAAGGGCAAAGAAGTTTTCTGTCTTAGTGAAGGGCTAGGGCCGAAATAAACTCCTGTGCTGCTTTAAGTTAAGCATGTGGCTTTTAGTTTAAATGGCCTAAAACTGCTGAAGTCATTATTGAAGGGTGGGATGTGAATCTGGAGTCATCAAGCAGTGGCACTTGGAAATCCAAAGCATTTTCATGCATTGCATTTGTCCCAAATGTTAATTTTTCAATAAAATAAATGATCGGGACATCGGGTGTGTGTCAATGCCGAGAGGCTGTAACTGTAGTGAGAAATTCAATCCCCTTCAAGGCAGACATGTCTATGTGCTGCTGCCTCATAGATTTTTTTAAATAACATCTGGATGGCAGCACTGTTCACTTATCCAACAAATCAACTAGATTACAGTTCGCCAATGTGGCATCCATTCAAGAGTAGTGCAGCATCAGGGGTAAGTACAGATTAAGTTCAGAATAACAGAATGTAGTATTTGCACCTGTTTGTAAGGAAGCCTTCGCTGCCCTTCATACTTCTCTTAAAAGTTTTAAACTCAGACCTGCTGCTCCTCCAACGAGATGACAGAACCATTGCTCCCGCTGCGCCTCTTCCTCTGGAAGGCCGCGATCTCCTCCGTCTTGATCCTCAGGATCTTCTGCTGCTGCTCGTTCTTTATCTCCAGCTCCTGGACAGAAAAAATTCAGCCAGAGCTAAGCTTCGCCGCAAACAGAAACACGCTCCTTGCTTTCAACTCACATTACCTGCTGTAGCTGAGAAAGCACAGGTGGTCGACCCTCAGCCCAAATGAACATGTGCATGCACCGCATTCAAAAGACAAAAAGTATATATATCCACCCTTCTATGAGATCAACAGAGAACTTAAAAGCAAGTTGGACTGGTGTACACTTTTAGCTTTAGCGAGTACGAGGTGCAGGAGGAGCAGAAGGTGCGGGAGGAGTGAGCAAGAGGTGCAGGAGGAGCAAGCGGGAGGAGCGAGCGGGAGGTGCAGGAGGAGCAAGCGGGAGGAGCGAGCGGGAGGTG